TTTTTTTTTTTTTTTTTTTTTTTTTTTTTTTTTTTTTTTGATATTGTCAAAGATATCAAATTATATACTAAAATGTAATTGACAAAATTGTATATGTACGGTAGATACCTGTTCTCGAAATACCTGATTTCGGCAATTTAGCTGCAGTATTTTTATACGATAAATTAAAAATCCAATCTCAAAATGATACAACTAAACTGCTTGAAGCCAAAGAAATGGTATATCTAAAAGGATTTTATGATGGTGTACTGCTAGTTGGTCCACATAAAGGAAAAAAAATTCAAGATGTTAAAAAACTAATACAGAAACAATTGATAAATGAAGGAAAAGCAGTTATATATTATGAACCTGAGAAAACTGTAATCTCAAGATCAAATGATGAATGTGTAGTAGCTTTGTGCAACCAATGGTATCTAGATTATGGTGAAGAAACTTGGAAAAAAGAAACGACAGAGGCTTTAAATAATTTGAATACTTTTCATGATGAAGTGAGGAAAAATTTTATGGCCTGTCTTGATTGGTTACATGAGTATGCATGTTCAAGAACTTATGGACTTGGTAAAATTACATACTTGCTAACGAAAAGACATTAAATAATTTCTGTAACATATAATTTTATAAGTGTAAACTCTAGGTAGTAAATTACCATGGGATGAAAGTTGGTTGATAGAATCACTCTCAGATTCAACAATATATATGGCTTACTACACTATAGCACATTTATTACAAGGAGGAAGTTTCAAAGGCGATAAACCAAATACTTACAACATAAAGTAAGATTTATTACAACATTATCATTATTTAAATAGTAGTAAAATATTAAACATTATTTTTTTACAGGGCTCACGAGATGACATCTGAAGTCTGGGATTATATATTTTTCAAAGATGCAAAGTTCCCAAAAACTAATATAAAGAAAGAGGCATTAAATCATTTGCGACGTGAATTTAATTATTGGTATCCAGTAGATTTACGAGTATCTGGGAAAGATCTAGTACAAAATCATCTAACATTCTTCATTTATAATCACACTGCAATATGGCCTAAACAACCTGAACTATGGCCAAAAGGTATCAGAGCAAATGGTCATTTGCTTTTAAATTCAGCAAAGGTAAGAAATATGACTTTTTATACATCTTATAATTACCGAAAGAAATTATAAATAATATGATTTTCTTAGATGTCTAAATCAGAGGGAAATTTCTTAACACTTTCTGAAGCTGTAGAAAAGTTCTCTGCAGATGGTATGCGACTTTGTTTAGCCGATTCTGGTGATTCAATAGAAGATGCCAATTTCGTAGAAAGCATGGCCGATGCTGGAATTCTTAGACTATATAATCTTATTGAATGGGTTAAAGAAGTATTGGCCTTGAAAGATACCTTTAGACAAGGAAAACCATCTACATTTAACGACAAAGTTTTCGAAAGGTACTTGTTGAGATTTTTATAATATTTTGTTTTGTTATAACATTAAATTTATAATTAAAACAGTGAGATGAACTTGAAAATACAAGAAACCGGAGAAAGTTATTCGAAAATGTTATATAAAGAAGCACTGAGAACAGGATTCTTTGAACTGCAAGCAGCAAAGGACAAATACCTACAGTTGAGTGCTCTAGATGGTATTAATTGGATATTAATTGTGAGATTCATAGAACTTCAAATTATTCTCCTATCCCCAATTTGTCCGCATGTAGCAGAATATGTGTGGACACTAATTGGCAAAGTAAGTACTTAACATGCAATTTTTACGCAATGAATTGTGCATTATGTGTAAATATGAAAAAAAAGTAGTAAATAATTATCATAGTAATTATATTATTATTGTAATTTTTTTTAATAGGAAGGTAGCATATTAAATGCTAAATGGCCTCAAGTAGAAGAAATAGATGAAATTCTTATAAAATCATCACAATATCTTATGGACGCTGCCCATTCGTTTAGGATTCTCTTAAAAAATTATTTGGCGCCGAAGAAAGGACCCAAAGGGAAAGGTGAAACGTCATTTATACAGAAACCTACTCACGGTATAATTTGGGTAGCTAAAACATATCCTCCTTGGCAAAGTACTATTTTAACTGCAATGAAAGATTTATACCTTGTAAGTAATAATTAATACGCAATAGAATATTTAAAATATAATTAATTTGTGCGTTTATACTAAATTGTTTTTTAGAAAAATGATAATAAACTACCAGAAAATAAAATTATTGCATCAGAATTGGGAAAACTACAAGAATTAAAAAAACATATGAAGCGAGTAATGCCATTTGTACAAGTTATGAAAGAGAAAATGCAACTTCTAGGGTTAAGTGCACTAAATTTAACATTAGATTTCGATGAGTTTAAAGTTCTCCAAGACAATAAAAAATATCTTGAAAATACACTAGATGTAAGTATTATATTCTTTTTGATACTCTGTGATTATTGAAATTAGATTTAATAATTAGATTAGATTTAATAACCTTTAATTAATCTTTTATTTTATTAGTTAGAGGACATCGTGATAAAGTATACGAATGAAGCTCCAGAAAAAACGAAGGAAGAATGTTGTCCAGGTGTTCCTTATATGAATTTTTCTACTAAAGAAGGACTACCAATATGCGTCATAAATCCACAAAAGTACAGTGGTTTATTTAGAATAAACATTAAAATAACTGATGCAGATACTGTAGAGGATATCATATCTCAAATATTAAAAGAAAATAAAGTAATAAAAAGTATGCTATCAGCTTCTATAAATCAAAGTCATTTGACTTGATTTACATCATTTATTGAGTATTTATTATAATTCTAGATTCATCATCAGTTTCTCTATATCGCTACGATGATCCTATATTAGGACCTAGGAGTAAATCTACAGTGGATAATATATTAAAAGGTAAAACTCAAATTCCATCCAATTCTGTATTTAACGTTAATATGGAAAACAAAAATGTTAATGTAAATGTAGGAGGAAGTGTACATAATATAGGTAATGAATTGATTTATATTCTCCAATCTTTGGAGAATTGATATATAAATATTATGCATTGCGTATAACTTATTAATACAAATATTTATGTATGACTTTTCGTATTGATAATAATATTCTGAAAGTACATACAGTACTGAAATATATATTTGTTTTATTCTTTAGATAACAAATTTCATCTTTTATAAAATGTGATTTTTTCATATAAAATATAAATTGTAAAATTTTTTTTGATAAATTATATCATTTTTTCAAGTTTACATCTATTTTACATCTTTATTATTTAATTTTTACTCGCAAAGTATATTTAAAAATCGTTAAATTTTACTATAAAATATTAAGTGATCATTAAATGCAGTTTTTAAAATCTTATTGTGTAATTTTAATAAAGAAAAAGAGAAGATGGTAAAAAAATATTTTCTCAATTTTTATATTTACAATTAAAAATAAAACTTTCTTAATACATTGCATATAAATGATTATAAGAATATAAAAATGATTATAAGAAAGATATATCATACGCGTTATGTAAATATATATAAAAATATTTCAACAGATTTTCTAGCCAGCTTTTGTGGGATTTATTTACTTAAAGATTTATTTTTACTAGGGTTTAATTACTTTTCCATTTTTCTACTTCTGCTCGTATTTTCTTCACATCTACAGTATTTGTTCTACAACAGCCACCTATGTACCGAACACCTAGATCCAACCATTGGAATATAAATTCATGTAAGGAGTATCCTTCTCCTTCTTTTGACCAACCTTCTTTTACTGTATATTTTTCACCGCTATTGGGATATACTACCAGTGGCACAAAATTTTCCTTACAATTTTCATTAATTCCTTTTAATAAGGAAGTTACATTTTGTGGTGCAATACAATTAACTCCAATTGCTAAAATTTGTCCTGGCAAGGCTTCTTTGTAACACCATAGTGCAACATCTTGAAAATTAGAGCCATCTGCTATGCTTTTTCCATCACAATTACATGAAAAGGATAACCATGCTTTACTGTTTGGAAACTCTTTTAATAATTTAACAAGTGCTTCTGCTTCCCTTTTGCACGGGATTGTTTCTATAGCTAACATATCAACACCACTCTCTATTAATTTTTGAATACGTGGCCTGTGCCAGTTCATAAGAATTTCTTCCGACACAGTTAAGCAATATTTGCCAGTATATTCTGAAGCATCATGCAAACAGGCTCCATATGGTCCAACTGATCCAGCAATTAGTGGATTTGCATTTGCAACGTGTTCTTTATTGTTTATCTCCTTTTTGTATAAATTTATAGCTTCTTTAGCATAGTCTACAGCTTTAGAAAAAATATTTAGACTTTCCTCTTCTGAGATATTCATGTATTTTGAAAAACCATCAATAGATGCTTGATAGGTGTTTGTCTGAATGATGTCTGCTCCAGCTTTTAAGAAATCCAAATGTGTAGAAATAATTGCATTAGGATTCGTGATAAGAAATCGTGCAGTCCATAAAGGATCACCATCTATTGTATCACCAACATGAGTTGCTAATTGTGTAGAAAATCCACCATCTATCACCTTTATTTGCATGATTCCCTTTTAAAATTACTTACAATTATCACCAAATATTTTTAATGTTAAAAATATCTATACACGCACGTATAAAAATTTAAAATTATTTTCCAATTTTAAACATTTTAAATATAACTAAAATTTTGCGTAATAGCAATGCGCCATTAACATCGAGAAAATCAACTTTTATAATTTCACGCACGTCTTAGTCGTTTAAATGTGTTTGCAAATGTGAGGCAATAATTTCTACAATTGGCTTTATGGAATACACTTATTCCAAAGTCCATAACAAATCTGTGAGATAAACATTAATGCGAACAAAATTTTAAGCATAACTATTTCGACGAAAAAGTTTTCTTTTGCTATCTACACTGTGAGATTTTTATATTAAGATCAGATTTAGTCACGTGTTTACGTATACTGTGATATGATCCCGTAACATGTAACAATCTTGAGTTTTGCTAAGATAAATATTATCGAACACACTAACTTTTATCACATAAATTTAAAGTTGTAGATGAAATTTTTTTGTTATCATTACTATAAATGATATCAAACTTAGATTTTTATACTGTATTTTATAATAACTCGTTTCATAGCAAAAGAAACACGTGAAATATTTAAAAAAATACAAAAGAAAAGTGTATATATTTTTCTTTTTAACAATATTGATTGAAAATTATTTAAGTACAAAATTAATAAATAAAATTACCAATTATCAATAATGTTAATATATACATACATATACATATATTTTTTTTAAATACACATGTCATTACAAGTTGAAACAAAATTGTTGACATAGTGAGTATTTGAAATAATTGACAAAAAAAATCAATTATGACTCTCTATTTTTCTTAAAATTGTTTACTTCTTTTCTGATTGATCTTATATTTTCTGCATACATTCTGCAACAACCTCCAAGGTATCGTACTCCAAGTTCTAACCATTCGGGAATAAAATTTTCGAATGGGGCACAATTTTCATTTTTTATCCAGCCTTCCATTGGCGAATAGATTTCGCCGCTGTTAGGATATGCGATTAATGGTATAAATTCATTTGCTGACTCCATATTGATATTTCTTAATAAAGGTGTTACATCTTTTGGTGCAATGCAATTCACACCAATGGCAATTATTTGTCCCGGTAATGCTGTTCTATAGCAATGTAAAACAACTTCTTGGAAATTGCTTCCATCCACTATGTTTTGAGTGCCCTTTTCGCAAGAAAACGAAAGCCACGCCTTGATGTTTGGATATTCTCTTAAAAGTTCCACTAATGCTTCTGCTTCTTGATAACAGGGTACAGTTTCTAACGCTAATAAATTTATACCAGCATCAACAAGAGCATTTATACGTGATTTATGCCATTCAATGATGATATTGCGGGATGTTGTTTTACCATAAGCTCCATTATATTCTGAACCATCGTGCAAACTAGCTCCGTATGGTCCACAGGAGCCAGCAATCATAGGATGTCTGTTTTCAACATTGTCACTATCTTTAATTTCTTTGGTATAATCGTTCACTGCAGCTTTAGCAAGATGTACAGCCTTGTGTAACAACTTTATACTTTCTTCTTCAGTTACAGATAAATATTTCATTAGATCAGATACTGAAACTTGATATGTACTTGTTTCAATAATATCTGCACCTGCTCGCAGGAAATCTAAATGTGTGGCATAAACTGCATCAGGGTTTGTTGCTAAAAATCTTGCTGTCCACAAAGGATCACCGTCAATCTTTGCACCAACATGAGTGGATAATTGCGAACCAAATCCACCATCTAAAATCTTAATATCCATCTTCCTTTTGTATTATATCAATGTGCGTTGTGACACAAAGGCTATTCCAATGTTTTACTAAATTTTTAATAATGAACTTGATAATAAAATGCAACAATATTTAGTACAGCAAAAAAGGCTCACAATACTTTATCCAAGAATTGTTCAAAACTATTTCATAATTCTGTATTTCTTATCAGCCATTCGGAAATTAATAGCGATAACCTTTTATGTCTAAAATATGGATAGTATTAAATGCTGATTTTTTTTTTAAATGCAGTCTTTCACTAAATTATTAAAAACCATGAGTGAAATTACGAGATAACATTCTAAAAGAAATTGATTCTAACTATTGTACGTACGTACATAAAACGAAATACGTACCGGCGTATAACATAAATATACCTATACAACATATGTATACAGTTTGTAACGCGCGTTAAATGATCGATACATGATTTCTTACAAATTTTGAATTCTAAATGATTTTAAAATCATCAACATCTTGGGAGGGGAAAGTTATAGCTCGAATAATTTGAGCTTTGCTTTAAATTAAAGTATTTAAGCACATCGTAAACAAAATACGTGTTATTTTAAATACTTTTATTTGTATTTACCTAGATTTTGATATACTTCAAATGCTACTAAGTTTTTAAAACATTCGTTTAAGTATGATAGATTTTCAATATTATTATCCAAGTTCTTTAAACTATTATTGCATTTAGATACACCCAGATGTAATCAAATAAATTTTGAATATTTTTATTTTATTTAATACACAAATCTTTATCTTTGACCTTGACTTTCAGTTACCAGTAATAGAAATAGTTAGCCGTTAATAATTCGATAACATATCGAAAAACACTTTATACGATACATTCTTAGCAACGAACAATTTATATTTGTACGTTTCAAAATTTAAAATGTATATGTTTACATACATATATACAACGTTAGTTTATTTAAAAAGGAGTACATTTCAAACGCGTGATATTAGTTACCGATTATCTCGCGAACTTTGTGTATGTTCCTTCCCAATAAAGTACAAAGAAGTTTAATTTCAAAAAAGAAGCAACAGAAGGGTCAGTGGTAAGTAAGTGGTAAGTATTCTTACTATAAGACTTGTATTTTTTAAAAATTAGTTTATTATACATATATAATTTGAATTATTCAATTTATTCAATAAAAGATATGTAATAATCTACGAATGATAAAATCTTACAGTTAATTTTAAATACATATAAACTTTTAAATTACGTTTTTGTATTAGATATGTATTCATCGTATTCATCAGGTGGAATTTTAAGTTTATCAGAAGTAAATGCTCTACGTGTCGAAGAATTTGAATGGCTTTTTGACAATGCTATTGAAAATAATGCAGCGATTGCAAAATGTATTGCAAATGAAAGACCATTTACATCAGCTAAAAATTTGAAAAAATCCTTTCATGATTATTTAGATAAGTTGGATACTTCTGGTAAAAACAATACACAATAATAATAACTGTCATATAATGTTTATATCAGAATTTTTATACATTATGACGTAGACTTTATGATATTAATTGTGTTATTTATTTCTAGGAAAAAGAGATGTAGTGCTCAAATATCCAGATCTCATAGCAAAATTAGTTTCAGAGGAGGAAGAATCTCCTACAACAGATACAGCAACAGTTGCTGCATCAGATACGGCAACAGTTACTTCAGAAGATACGGCAACATTTAGTTCAGAAGATACAGCAACAGTTACTTCAGAAGATACTTCAGAAGATACTTCAGAAGATACTTCTGAACCTCAGATGACGTTGAAAGAAAAGAAACATACATTGAATACTTACAATAACACGTAAATAAATTAAAAAGAATTAATAATTTTATTGCAAATCTAAAATTTACTTTACGTTTATATGTGTTATTTCAGATACAAGCTAAAATTTCATATGCCTTTTGTAGTATATTTGAAAGAAGATATTAACGTGGAAACTAAGATAGAAAAAGTTCTTGAATCAATCGAAGAACGTTTAGCAAATACCAGAAATGAAGAGTTACAAGTTACAATGGAAGAAATTAAGAAAATTTGTGATAGCAGAGTAGATTCACTTGTATGGCCGGATGTATAAACAAATTATTTATCTTATTTATCTTAAGTAAATTCAATGCTATTTGTAATAAATTACCTTTTAAATTAGAAGAATTAAACATTTATTGTATATTTGATGTTTGATAATACAAAGTAAATGATTTACTATTAATAAAGGTTTATAATATCCCAAGACTTTTCTCAACAATAGCGTGCGGTTGACCCATTTGTTCTCTAAAGTCAGGTATATTTAATATGTCTTCAAACCTAAATGTATAAAAAAAATGGTTAGAATTTTAACATTTACTAATCAATGCCTTAAAAATTATGAACCAACATTAATAAACCCTAACAAATATTTCTCTCTATTGGATTATTTGATTTAGACGAAGGAAATACTTTAATTTATTTACCCTATTTCCTCATCCTTTCCAAGTAACACGTCTTTCATCATATGCGACGATGGAAGAAATGGAAGTCTTCCAATCTTTTCAGTAGCTTTTAATTCCATTGCCAGACGCATTGGAGCATGTAATCCTTGCGTATTTCTTAACAGTACCATATTCATACGAGTACGGCTTTTCTCGTACTGAAAAATATACATATGTAATACATATTATAAACCTCTTGTGCATCCATTGTTATATCTCAATAAAATGAATAAAATTATTTTCTTACATTTTTCTGTGATGCTTCCAATGGATGTGCATAACCTATATGTTGCCTAGTTACTGCTAATCTAGCAACGAGAAGATCAAACAGTAATACATTTAATATTGGATGTAAGTTTAATTACTGATAAAATTGTAATATTGATAATTATTCGTACCCTGAAACCAATGGATTGGGTATACCATAATTGTCATCATGAATATTGAACTGCTCATTGGCAGTAGGTTTTGGAACAAGCGACGGCAAATTGAAACTCTGAAATATATTAGTGAAAATTTATATTTGTATCCAATAGTCACTGAAGCGTTACAAATAATTGTTCATTTGTATGTAAAAAAAAATGTATCTAAAATGTTATAATAAATTAATTTCAAAATGATAACTGAAGTGTATACTATTTCTTACCATTGTTACTTGATTATATGTCTTGTTATAAATCTTCAAGAAAATCAAAAGTCACGCAATGTGAATTCACAGCACAATATACATCAGTTCCACAAATTCAACTCTACGTTTACATATGCAAGTCAGTAACAATATCATTGATAATATAATACATAGACTCGAACTTTCATCCTTCGAGCCGATACTTCGATCTATAGAGCAAAACTGAAAAATTTTTATAAATGCATTCTATAGATTACAAAAAATACAGGAAAAAAACTAGAGGCTTAAAAATGACAATGCAATTCCAAAAGTTTAATAATTGAGCTTCTAAATTTGTTACTTTTGTAATTGAAAAATTAGCCCGTTTACAGACACACAAATGCTAGCGTCGCGTTGCGGCGAAAAAGTGGAACTAATGTATGTTGCTGTCCTTGTCGCACACTGGTGCGCTCCTTGTTTACCGCGCCTATATGCCTGTCCTTGTCGCACACTGCTGCGCTCCTTGTCTACCGCGCGGATATGCCTGTCCTTGTCGCACACTGGTGCGCTCCTTGTCTACCGCGCGTATATGCCTGTCCTTGTCGCACACTAGTGCGCTCCTTGTTTACCTCGCGTATATGCCTGTCCTTGTCGCACACTGGTGCGCTCCTTGTCTACCGCGCGTATATGCCTGTCCTTGTCGCACACTGGTGCGCTCCTTGTCTATTACGCGTGTATACCTGTCCTTGTCGCACACTAGTGCGCTCCTTGTCTATCGATAGTGCTGCCATCTAAGTCACTTTAATTTTTGACTGGAACTAAAAGAGCAAATTGTACAATCCGATAGATGGCAGCACGTGTACCAACCGAAGTCGATAACGGCTTTAGCTCTGGCGATTGCCGATAGATGGCAGCACTTGTAAGGTGAAATTTTTGAAAATTTCGAAATTTTTCAAATTTTTCGTTTGTTTACAAATTCTTTTGTTTATTTATATTTTTTGCCCTTTGTTTATTTTCATTTTGGTTTGTTTACGTTGAAAAATGTAAATAAATAAAAGAATTTTGTAAACAAAAATTTGATAGAGCGAAAATTTGAAACATTTCGGAAAATTTTGGTTTGTTGACATTGAAAAATGTAAATAAACAGAGAGCAAAAAATATAAATAAACAAAGGGCAAAAAATGTAAATGAAGAAACGTGTCGGAAAATAAAATTTTTCGTTGAAGGATCGGGTTGGTTGATTTAATGATCAGACGACTTATTAATTTTAACTGCATATTTATTGAAATCTTTCAGTAATACATAAATTACAATGATTTTGGAATTTTACAATATTTTCCATCTTACTGAATTAATATTAATATAATCTTACTTATTACTGATATTAATATGATCTTATAAGATTAATATATAATATAATCTTACTCAACTAATATTAATATAATACCTGTAAAAATCCATTTGCGACAGATTTTGTAACTAATATATAGTAGCTAATGACTAATTCTGAAATATTCTTATAGATTATTATATATATATACAATATTATGTGTGTAATTATTACATTGTTATAATGTATTTGGTATTTTTTTCCACCTGTTAGAAATTTTATGTATATTTTTCATCAACATAGCTTACTTAGCTATGTATTTATGTCAATTTGTATTGCAAATGGATTTTGTAAAGGTAATCGACATATGTAGCTAACAACTAATTATTTCCTTGATTATTTATTAAACTACAATGTTACGTTACAATATCACATTGTGTTTAATTATTACATTCTTGCAGTATATTCTTATATGTGTATCATGTACAATTATTAGTTTACAACATATCTTACAGTTAGAAATGTGGAAATACATATAATAAATACGTATGAAATACAAATATCTAAATATGGTAGTTTACATAAGTTTAAAAATTCATTATGAAGAATTATAACTACGACTTGTATATGCACTCATAGCCGCTGTTGCAAGGCACACCTTGTAATTTTATCGATAAAACAACACGCACGTATCGAAAGAACGTGAACTTATCTTGTTCGTGTATGCCGATAGTAAGTATTCAAACAAAATTGATCGATTAGTGTTTATAAAATTATAACGTGATATAACTGTTTTCATTGGCTTAACATTGTAATTGATTAATCAAGAAAATCAGAGATGCGTGCATACAGCAGAAGAGTTTCGCTTCGCGAATCATTTGTTGAAATATTAGCGAGGAAGTCATTGATTCGAAGGAGGGTAAGTATTTTATTATATTATACATATACGTACATATGTACACATGTATGTGTTTTCCGTTATCTTTACATGAACTAATCCTTTGTTTAATGCTCAAGTAGGTCCACAACAGGTATCCTCTACCGAACACTTAAATATACAATTAAATACTCTACAATTAAATACAATTAAATACTCTAAATATTTCTAGATAAATCTTGCACTTGTATTATACATTATATATGTTCTTAATCGCTCCTCTTCTCGTATCATTAAATTTATACGAAAAAACTATATGTACAAATAACCTAAACTCAACTATTATATATATATATATATTCTATACTATTATATCTGGGCATAGAGAATAATATTAACAGATAAGTTTTCATGACGATGGTCGTGCAGGTTAATAGATTGAAGGGAATCAATCTTTTCCGAGCTGCGGTGAGACTGGTCTTGGAATACATCGAGTGGTTAACCGAAAAGCCCGTTGTCGAAGAAGTCAGCGACGACATTGCGATTAACATCCGCAGGGCGGAGCAGAAGAAACACGAAAAGAAAGCTCTCACGCTGGAGGTCTGAAAAATAATTAAATACGTGTCCTTTAACTAAATAGTTAAAAATCGACGCCTTCCAATATCACACGAAATTATTATATACGGAAAAAAGTGTTGAAAAAAGTGTTAAAAGTATTAAGTGAACTTTACTAAATTTTCTAAATTTAAGGATCGCTCTTATCTGTTAACGAGGCCGGAAGATCGATCGGAGGATGAGAGGAAATATATATACGACCTGTTTAAAAAGTTTCGAGTGTTCGAGAAATATGCCGAAAGTTTAAAAGAAATTTTAGTGGACGTGTGCCTTTATCAGTACTTGAGAGCCGGCCGCGTGATCGTGCGACAGAGTCGCAAACCTGAGAATCTGTACTTTATTGTAAACGGAGAGGTCAGCGCGTCGAAGGTAGTCACCGATCGCTGGACTGGTACGCGAAAGAAATCTCTATCTCGAATTTCCAAATCCTTCGCAAGAAATAAATTCGCGAGAAATAAAGAAACAAGTGTTCGAAAGCCGCGAAAAAGAAGCCGTATATTTATGTATTTGCATGGTTTTTTTTTTTTTTTTTATTTTGAGAGAACACACACAAAGTATGATCCGAACTTTATTCGTACCTAGGTGAAACAGAAGAGGTTGACATGGGCAGCCTGAATCCAGGTGATGTATTCGGTGAAGTGGCGTTGCTGCACGATATACCAAGATCAGCAACGGTAGTTACAAAAAGTATGTGCACCTGGTCCGTATCTTCTTCCCCTTCGAAAGATACTCAACTTACTTTATCTACAGCCGCGGTAGATTTGATTCTCATTCCTCGCCAGGATTTCAATGATATTTTGCGGTCACCATTGAAAAAAGAATGGGACGTGTTGCAGGATGCCCTGGTACACTTCAATTACTTCAAATCCTGGGACGACGTAACGATACGAGAATGTTGTATTCTCAGTAAATTGAAAGATTTCCAACCCGACGAGGTACACTTACACACGTGCAATTACAATTCAAGTCATAAAACAAAGAAGCAGAAGAATGTAAATGACAAAGCAAATGTTTTAAAGGTTATGTTAGGTGACGGCAAAGGACTGGTGAATTATGTGCATTTTCTATTGGAAGGTGAATGCCGTTTGATAGAGCATATGATCGTACGTGAAACACATTCTGCCCTTGGTACACGATACGAACTGTACGATCCTGAAAAGAGCAATGGAAAGAAAGAAGACAGATCTTCGTCGGAGAGCGTAGAAACGGCTGCGAAAATGGACGAGTTTGAATACCAATACGAAACTGGCAAAGTACGAGAGCAAGCATCTATTACCTTATTATACCTATTACTAATGGAAATTAATCCTATTGCATCATATCGCAACGCACGATTTTAAAGGCCAACGACATGGACGAGAGTATAGCCCAACTTTTACTATCGTCGAGAACGACCGATAGGAAAATGGATTTCGAACGTTCGAGCATCATCACGACCACGCTGTTGGACGTTGTGAGTGCAGGCCCGATTGTTATGCCGCGTATCGTTCAAAACATTCTTACTTATATGTAAATGTATACTTTTGAACAAGATATATTATATTAAACTTTGTATGAATGGAAAAATACTGCAATTACACAGGTAAACGAATGGCATAAAATTACGGACGTAGCAGAAATGTTGATGAGAGAACCATCCTCTATCTCACAGCAACGCTATCCGATCGACGTACGGACGATATTTATGCAAATTTGCACGTTTAACAGGGGTGCGTGTTTCGGCTTAGGTAATGCTTTTAAATACTTTACCAAGAAGTCTCCCATCTTACTTGGGACAATACGACAGTTGTTTCTAATAAAATATACGTACGAATTAGGGGAGAACATGGTTAATCGAAGGATAGTAGCTGCTTCATCCGTAAAATGTTTCTTGGTCCCGCGATATTGGTTGAGAATTCACAATCGTGCGAATATTTGGGAACGCGTGAAACTGTTTATGGATTCCAAATTCCCCACTAAAGAGCAATTGTTTCAAAGATTTTTAACGAATCGCAGGTACGTTTAATTTCTCTTATTTAATGAATCGGCCAAAGTGAAGCAAGTAACAGACTTTTAGTGATTATTTAGTAAGTGAGGATCTCTTTTGTCCTATTATAAACAAATGGTGCACGTTTTTCTTGACTTTCTGAACAATGTTCCTGCTGTGCTGTGTCACATCCTCCAACTAACTTGTTGTAATTATTTTTCCTTCCAGATGGCTAGAATATAAGAAAACTTTAATCGAAGACATAGATAGACAAAAGCGACGTATTCACAGCAATGTGACGATACATGATGTTCCTTACGCTATTAGGATTGTTAACACATTATAAAAATTATCAGCGTAGAAATTACAACAATTCTCGACGACATCGCAATATCTTCTATGTGTGAAATTTTTACTGCTCTATTGTTGACAAACAAAGTTAAAGCGTTGTGCAGGTAAAAAGTTTATTACACAAATTTTTTTAAATGCTAAATGCAGCCTAAACGCAGGTTAAACAATTTAAATTCACTCGACACGCGCGCTTATGTAACGTTGTGTAATTATTTTTGAAGTACATCGTACATCTTTGGTTCTAAATTAACGCGTAAAATTACTTCTCAGGTTCAAATTAAATCCTGCATTCAAACTTACAACGCACCGAGTATTAAGTACTGATAAGCGAATACATTTCTCTCCGTTTTTTTTCGTGAAAAATCTAAATGCATATCTAGTGATCAATAGAATTAATTAACAGAGTATTGGATTTTAGAAACGTAGCAATGAATCACATGTACAAAAAATGAATTGAAAAATGAAAAAGTTAAAAAAGTGAAAAATGATTCGTTCCTCTCTTTCTCGACGTTGTAGTCGTTTCTTCTAAGAGATGTCAAAATTTTCATGTCATTCGAGTACAAAAAAGTTTAAAAATATAAAAATATTTCTCTTCTTCAGAGAGAAGGCTGTCTCGTGCAGTATCGAACATGTCAATGAAATTTTTCTGGATCGATATTCGAAAGCCTTGTTGAAAAGTGATCGTGAATGACATGTATATATGTATGTACGTATAATGTCATTTTGTTCTTCAAATTATTTTAAGTAGTCGTCATGGCACATCACAAGAACAAACATCACGTACGAATGCAAAGAAACAATAATATTTAAAACGTTAAAATAAAATCGCACATGCAATGTTCATGAAACATGGACAGAAACTGGCTGTTGCGCACAATAATGGAAAACAGTACGGTTTAAAACTGAAACAAAAGCCAGATAATCCTCTGATTATGTTGCTTCAATGTGGATGTATGTACTTGTACAATGCACTCCTTTATTGTTCATATTTCTCAATTTATCGTATCGATATCCGCACGTCTATCCACGAAAATCCGCCTGAAATAGACATTCCCTTCGGTTAATCGTCATTATAGAAGAATTATTAAATTCTGTTCATGCACAGGCTCAAACATTCGTCTGATTTCTCTCGCAATTAGCCATCACCACGTAACTAGGATTGCTGAAGCCAGCTGGTATGTCTAACCTTAAGTCGCTCTTTTGCTTCGGCATATTCACGTAATTGTCCTGCGTCCTGATAATCCCCTCTGCTATGAGATCCTTCTTCGACAACGTGTCTCCGCTACTCGATATTTCACTGTCCTCGAAACATTTCTCGTTCTTCTCGTTCTTCTCGTTCCTTTCGTTTTTCTCATTCAGATCTATCAACCGAAGACTCCGCGGAGCGTTGCAATACGCAAAATCCTTATTGACGGGTTGATCCGTCGATTGACTTTTCATTGCCTCTCGTTGTCGAACGAACTCGGCTCGCCGCGCGTGCACGTTTATCGGTTGCAGATATGGATCCTCTTCTTCCGGTCCTTTCTTTAACATCGGCGACAATTCAACAGCGTCTTCTGAATCGGAAGTGGCCGGGAACTTGAAGCGAGTTCCTTCCTGGTTTGGCCTGGGGCTAAATATTTCTGAATCGTAACCACTCTGACTGGTAGGGCTCATGCACAGGTAGGTTGTTGAATTGGTCGAGTTCGAGGCAGGCAAGTTCGAATAATCGTGAGTAGGTGAGGAAAGCGCCGCGTGATCGGGTGCGGAAAGCATTGTCAAGTAGTCGCTTCGACCACCTTCTGTCAATGACACGTTCATGTCCATGTAAGGATCGTTCAGGCTGATGTAATGCTGAAAAAAAATTAAATATATTTAATCAGGTATATATTTAATCCTATCCTACAACGCAGTGGTACAGTACAAATAAACTCTCTCACCGCTTTTACACTTTCTTCCAACAAATCGCCAATACTCTGTACCAGTTCCGTGAAGCTCGGGCGTAGAGTAGGTTTGGCTTTCCAACATTGTAACATTATGTCATATCTGTAATAATGCCAAGTATTCCAAATGTTAAATTGCGTGGAAACGCAACAGCAGTCAAGATACTTCAAGTCAAACTTACACCTCGGAAGTAGCATATTCCGGCTGCTCCAGTCTGTATCCCTCGATCAACTTCTGATATTGTATCTCAGCTTCCATCCCGGGATAAGGCGTCTTAGCCAATGTGAAAAACTCCCACAAAACGATGCCAAATGACCAAATGTCTGACTGCGTCGAGAAAATTCGATCTCTAATCGACTCGATGGCCATCCATTTTATGGGCAACAGTCCACCTCCTTTCTTCTTGTAATTATTATCCTTGTACATGGTTTTTGCCAGGCCGAAATCACAGATTTTCACTACGTTGTTCTCTGCCAATAAAATGTTTCTCGCGGCTAAATCACCGTGCAGCACCTATCACAGGGTTACAATACTCTAATTATAATATCAGATTCAATGATTTTTCACATTCGTAATTTGAAATATTGTTTAATTGAAATATATACTTTTCTTTGGCTAAGGTACTCCATTCCTCGCGCTACTTGGAACGCCCAGGATAATAAGTCCTGCGTGCAGATCGGCTTCAAATTATAATCCTTGTAATCACCTCGATAATTAAATCTCCATCCTTGTTGGGAGGAGTTGTTGCTAAGGACGCAGCCATCTGGCGACATACTAACTCCTTGAGAATCCGTAGCGGAGGTCTGATAATTCGCCGATTCGGTGGGCGAGTCGTCGCTACGACTGCGAGAAAACGACAACGCCACGTATTTTATCCTGCCGTATGAACAGAAGAGAACACGTATGTTTGTTAATACCGCAACCCCATGCACAGCGTCGTTAGTTTTATACGTATATTATAGTTAATAGCACGGTTAAAGATAAAAGAAAGCAGAAATATAAATGTACAACTGTTTTGTTGAGTTGGTTATTTTATACGTACGTAGAGATTTTAATTTTAATACATTTTTATTTTCACGAGCTGCATTCAACTGATTATTGATATATCACTGTATGTAGCGGAACAATGCAATTGCCAACGAGTGTATTAATAAATAAGAATATTATCACGAATATTATCTTCATCGTATGAAAGTGGAGAATAAGAAGCAAACCTGTTACTGCTGCTGACACTGACAGATCTGGTTAAAAGATCTAAACCGATAGTAGGGTCGAATTTGCCGGTTGCTGGAACGATTTGGTTGATGAAGTCAGTCCTATGCCGTAGTAAATAATTGTGCAAATTCCCAAATCGGCAATATTCTACGATCACTAATAATTCACCTATTAAGAGAAAGAAGAAATCTGTTACATCATCTACATGCAAATTGTTACGTAAAGGATATTCCATTTAAAAACATGAAATTTGAACAAGGATTCAATTAAACGACGGTAAAATCGCATAGATCTTTTTAGTAAAGATACGTGCGTTTAGAAATGTTTTTCGTGCAAGCACCGAGAAGATTAACAACGTTCAAATGCTTTCCAAGATGCACCATAATTTTCAGCTCGCTGGCAAGAGCACGGACACACGTTGGCACCGTTGTTCGTCGAACCATTTTCACAGCCACGGTCGTAACCGGTTCGTTCTCGCAAATTCTCTCTGCTTCCGCCTTCATAACAACGCCAAAAGCTCCGCTCCCCAATTGTTTCCCTAATCGTTTAAACGTTTTGTTATAGTTACGGCATCAAATACTTGTGGGGAGAGCGGTGGGATATATTCAAACTTAAATCATTTCTTTCTCACCCAATTTCAATTTCTCGCGGGGAAATTCCCATTTCTTGTCGTAAGGGAGCAACTCAGCTTGATCGTCTACCGTTAACTCGGGATTCAAGCATTCCACTGCTCCTTCTTCGAAATGCATCAATCCTGCTTCCATTAATTCTTTTCTCATGGTCTGAAACATATATGTTTCTTAACATTACCAGAAATGGGGTTCTCTCCCTTATATCATATTATCATCAGACTCTTAATCTGAGGGTCCAGGGTTCGAGCCCT